GCCGGCCACAGGGAGGGCCACCGCGTGCACGCTGCCTCCCCACCCACAAGCTGGGGTTTCGCCCCAGGTGGACATGGGGCATGTGGTGAGGCAGTGACTTGGGAGCCAGATTCGGAGGCGGCCCAAGAGCCCCTCGCACACCCTCCCCCAGCCACATGGGACCCTGTCTGGTGCCTCTCCCTGCCATCTGCCAGAGGCAGCGTGGGTCAGCCGTGGCTCTCCAGGCCTGGACTCTGCCCCACGTGGCCGCAGGGGTGGGGCTCCCTGACATCCTTGGAGGTGCTGGGGCGGTTTGGGGGGCCAGGCAGGGGGGGGCCGGGTCTCAGCCTCTGGCTGCACCTGCAGGACCCTCGTGGCCGGACCCCCTTTTTGTCTGTTCTGCATCCGGGTGACCAGCCTCTGGTGGGCTTTGCAGAGTCAGAACGTGCCTGAGGGGGTCCTGGTGGCCCCAGCTGGGCTCTGGCAGGGCAGACAAGGCCTCGGTGCCCACAAAATCTGCCCTCACCTTGAGGCACAGCTTGTGAAGGAAACTTTGCCCCTCTTTCCTCTGCCTATTTTAGGGATCAGTCAGAGAAGACCTTGCGGAATCCTGCCTGAGTCGGAACAAAGGCACTGGCTTCTCCAGCGGGCGCTGTGCTTCTTATGTAAATTAAAACCCGCTGCTGCGCCTCTCCCGAAATTACAGGGTGGTGTGTCACTCTGCATCTTTGTCACTCTTTTTTTCCAATCCCTTCTATTGTTTGGAGCCTCCTGGATGACAGTGACAGGCTCTGATGTGGGCTTTGAGGGTCCACCAGGTGGGGGGTGCACCAGGGCTCACCGGGTGTCCAGCGGGGCTGCCTGTCCTCTCCAGGGCACCAGCTTCCCCCAGTGGGTGCTGGCAGGAGCTCCTGAGGCGCAGCCATGGGAAGGGGGCACAGGTGTGGCCGTTTTGGGGACAGGCTCCTTCCGGTGGACGGAGGAACCCAGGCCTGAACTCGCTGCTTCTCCCATTGTCTCCCGGCGCGTAACCCCAGAGGCCAGAGCGCCTGGCAGCTCTGTGTCTGACACTGGCCCCATGCAGGCCGCCAGGACTTGGCTTCTACATTGTGGGAATGGGCGGCACTGTGAGGGGCATGTCAACCTTCGGCACAGGCCCGTGTTGGGGGCCAGGAGGGCGCAATGTGGCATCTGGATGTGGAAGGGGCCACGCTCCCGTCTCAGTCGGAGGGCGCGACGTGGCTTCTGGGCTCCCGTCTCACTCAGTCTCTTGTCCACACTGCAGAGTCTCGTGTGTGGCCCGAGGTTTGGAACGGCCTGGAGACCCCTGTGTTAGCTCCCGTTGGGGCCCTGGGATGGGGTGAAAACCTCCATGAGTGAGCAAGGCTTTGGGGTTTTGTGGGGAGACGCGGTGAGGCGCTGTGGCCAAGAACCTGGGCGCTCAGACGGGCTCCCAGGCTGTGCCTCGATGGGCCAGGCTCTGTCGGGGGCTGGGGCTGGGGCTAGGGCTGGGCTCCGTGTCCTCCGTGGGTGCTGCCCACCAGGATGACCCCCCGGGTGACTCCGAGCCGTCACCCAACCGACGCCCAGAGGTCACCCGAAGGGGCTTCGTCTGGAACTGGAGGGCGGGACTGTAAAGAAAGGAGCAGAACCCGGGAAGCGGGTAACGTTGGGGTCCTCGGAAAGGAGAAGAAGGCAGCCATGTGTTGAGTGTGGAAGGGGGACTGGGGTTCCAGAACATTCCAGGCAGGAAGTTCAGTGAGCGGCGAGCTTTGGCCTGGAGATGCTCCTGGTGCATAATTATGCTGGCCAGTGGGCACGTCTGGCAGGGCTGGGGGCAGGCCCCACGTCCTGTGTGCCCAGCAGCGGAGATACCAGCTGGGACCCAGCAGCCGGGTCAGCCCTGGGCCCAGCTCCCGAGGCCTCGTCCCCATTCTGGAAACGGGGTCCCCAGTGACAGAACGGGCGATAGCTGTGGAGTGAGTGACAGCTGGGTGCAGGGAGTGGCCAGGGGCCTGGGGACTCTGGGACAGGACTGTGTTCCAGGGCAGGGGCCAAGGCTCGGGCAGAACAGAGTCGGTCTCAGAGCCACCCTGTGCGGGCAGCCCAAGGGGTCTCGGGTCTGAGGGGTCTCCTGGGACTCCAGGGTGTTCCTGGCTCAAGGCGCTGCCTCGGAGGCTGCAGCCTGAGGATGTGCTGACAGCTGGCCGCGGCGCCCGCCCTCCTCCGCCCCCATCACAAGCACCTTCTGACGCTTTCAGAGAGTGGCAGGAGCTTTCGCTCCTCCAGCGCTGCCCAGCCCTGCTGGCGGAGGTGAGCCGTCCCCGGGGCCGGCACGGGCTGGGACCCTGCCTGGAGCGACTCTGCCACGGAGCAGCGAGGGTTCCTTAAACGCAAACCAGACGCGGCTGACGGAGTGCTCAAGGGCTCTGGACTGGTCAGAGCCGGCTGGCTGCTGGAAGGAATGGCTTTCTTAGAACACTGAAAAGGAGGTCGTCCGGCCCAGAGCGGGACGTCCGGCTGCTGCGGGAGGCTGGGAGTGGGACTGGAGGGAGGGGAGCGTGGGAGACCGCAGAGCTTCCCTACCACGGAGCCGGCCGCATGCAGCTGGGGAGCCCCTGGGTGGGGGCAGAGGGGTGTGAGAGCTGGGAGGGATCACGTGGCAGCGAGGACCCCGCGGTGCGGCCAGGGGAACCAGGCTCTGGGGAGGGCGAGAGGCAGAGCCCAGGTTTGTCTCTAAGCCACTGCCGCCCAGGGCCCATGGCGGAGAGGCCTGCCAACATGCCGCCCCGCACCCCACGCTGGGTCCTCACCCCAGCAGCGGGCAGAGCTTGTGGAGGGTTCACGATGGGGAAGAGCCACCAGGGTTTCCGTACCCAGAAAACGCAGGCCCAGCTGCACAGAGGGCCGGGGCTCCCTGGCCGGGGCAGGTCTCCTTTTGGGCTGTCCGCCCAGCGTGACGGGAGGGCCCTGGCGGTGTGGCCGTGGCGCTGACGGAGAGAGGGGAAGCGGCCGCTGATCACAAACGTGTCCCCAGAGGAGTCAGCGTCATTTTAGCATGGGAAACTCAAACTCCGCTGCCACACCCTCCTGGGACTGGGACTGTCCTCGTCCAGTGACACTTAACCTGACGGCAGTGAGAGTCGCCTGCGGGCGCTGCCCGGGCCAGGAGGAGACGCGACTCCATCTCTCAGGCAGAAGACAGCGAAGGCCTACTTTTTGCTGAAATTAGACGTTTCAACATCACCCTCAGCTCTGAGGTTGCTACAGTGACTGAAGTGGACGTGCCACGCTGGGCGCTGGGTCCGTGCGCGTCTGTGGGGGTGACTTGGAGTGTCTCAGCTTCTGGCTCTTGCAGAGGCTCCCGAGACCGAGAAGCTGGGCAAACGGGGCCCCTGCGCCTGCAGGATCTTGGCTGCTTTTCAGTCTCTGATTCTCAAGTTATTGTACAAAGTGAGCTTCATATTTAATTCACAAACCATGACTCAGAGCTGGACAGAGGGTGGCGCCTCCCCTGGAAACGCTCCCATCCCAGCACCGCCAAGCAAGTGGCATTGCAGGCCAGTGCCAGCGTCTTGGCAGCCCCTGAGCGTCCCCCACAGTTGCCTCACTGCGGGGGGCTGCAATAGGCCTTCCTCCCTCCGCCCCTGGAGCTCCACCCCTGCGCCTGTGCCCGGGGTCTGTGCTCCGGGCCTTGGCCACTTCCAGAAGCAGGAGGCGGCCTGGCACACACACTCACAATCACTCACACACACACACATATACTCACACACTCAATCACACATTCACATACACACATTCACAATCACTCACACACATTCACAATCACACACAATCACATACACTCATACACACTCATAATCACATTCACATACACACATTCACAATCACACTCATACACACACGCGATCACTAATACACACACACACACACACACACACACACACACCCGCTTCTGTTTGGTGGATGGGCGGAGGCAGAGGACGACTTGAGTGCACCGGACCTCGTGTTGGTCCCAGGGGGGCGCTGGGGATGCCTGGAGCCTCCTCTGTCCCTGAGGCCCTTCTCTGGCCACCACAGGGGTCTCGTTCTCTACCCACCTGCTTTGCCCAAGGCCTCCAGTACCCACCCTGTCCCAGGTGGGCCCATGTCTCTCAAGAGCAGGTGATTTTTCTCACAGGGTCTGTGCACCGGGTCACCAAAATGTTTTGCCCTAATCGGGAATCCCAGAAGTCACAGGTTCCACCCAAGGAAACGAGAAAGAGGGCCTGGCAGGTGGCGGGGGGGTGGTGCTGGTCCCTCTGCAGGAAACCTACCAGCTCCTCCACAGCCTGCGGGGCCACGTGAGGATTGGTGGGAGAAGCCACTGTGTCCTCCAGCTCAGGCAGGAGGGACAGGCCCCCAGGGCACATTAGCGGGGCCTCCACGGCTCAGTGAGCAGCCCCCTCCAAGGTGTAGAGAGAGCCCGACCTGGCGTGGGAGATGCTGGCAGCGCCACGCCCCGGCGTCCTCCCTGGCAGAAGCAGCTTGTTGTGACCCTGCATGTGCTGTCCCGTGGCGCTGCCAGGCTCAGGATGGCGAGATGTGCCTACCTCGAAGCCCCCATGATGTTCCCGCCTGCCCGTGCTGCTGCGTGCACTGGGCCCTCTCCTGTTCTTGAGCCCAGAGTCCGCTTAGGCCCCAAACCCCGGTTCCCAGCCGCCTTCCTCTGGGAGCCCCCCAGCCCCTCCCTCCTCTCTGCCTCTGGGAGCCGGAAGCCTGGTCCACCCGGCCGTCTGGGGCTGCGGTGATGGAAGCAGATGGACCGGCTCCAGCTCTGCCCACTCTCTGCTGGCCCAGGCGAGGGGCAGGGCAGCTGTTGGCCCGCGGGACCCTGGCGGGGGCTCCCTGAAGTGAGGCCGTGTGGGCTCATTGCTTTCCTGGACCAGCCCTTGGCTCCCCGAGGCCTTCTGTGTCCTCCTAGCCCAGCTGATGAGGAGGCTAGAGCTCACCCTCCAACGCCCGGGGTGGGCGGCCCCTACCTGCTGCCTCCCGGTGGCTCTGGTGCGGTGGGTGGTGCTGCCCTGGGGTGCGGGCCGCCTCTGGATCTGCTGCCTGCCTTCTAGAAGGGTTGGGCAGGAGGAAGTGAGAGGGAGAGGCTCAGAAGGGAGTCCAGGGCTCTGCTCCAAGCCCCTAGGGGCACGTGGCCTGGGTGCTGAAGCGGCGAGTGGGTAGGGACTGCTGAGTGATGTGGGGTGGCCTCCCCACCCCGCACCGTGAACACCCACCTTGTGGAGGCTGTCCAGGAACAGGAAGGGGTGGTACCCGGGCGGGGGCGGCCCCAGGAGGACATCTGTGAAAGCGGCACGGCCCTGCTGCACTCGCTGACAGGCCCCGGGACAACAGGGCGCGCACCCCCTGGCTGCGGAGACAGAACGAAGAAGGGCCCTGTGAGGCTCGGGGTGGACACGGAGGGAGCCCCTCTTGGCTGTGCTGAGCTGTGGCTGTGGCCAGGCAGTGAGGCTGATTCTCTGGGAGCAGGTCAGAGGGCAGGGCCTGTCCATCCTGGGTGCTCCCTCTGGCTGCCAAGGGTGGAGGTGGGGGTCCCCCACGTCCACAGCCCCGTGATGCCCCCTGTCCCGTTCTGAGTCCCCCCCAGAGCCTGGGAGGCCAGTGCTTTACGGTGGGAAGGGTCTCCCATCAGCAGCCCCTGCCAGCCTGCTTCTAAGGTAGGGCCGGGGCGGGGACCAGGCCGGTGCACAGCGGCACAGCCACATTGTCCCGTGAGCACAGCGTGAGGAGGAAGATGGTTCTGCTCCAGCGGCATATCCAGCCGGGCCTCCCATCAGACCCCGCCCTCCACAGCCTGGAGGAGAGGAATCAGGGCAGCTGCCAGCTGCCCCCCTGAGTGGTTGCAGCCCCCGAGACCCTAAGTCCATCAGCATCGGAGGAGGGTGTGGGGGGCTCAGCCTGTGCTTCCCTCAGTGGGACCCCTGCAGACCCCTGCCCATCCTGGTTCCTTCAGCAGCTTGCAGGGCCCCGCGTGTGAGATCTGGTGGCTTCCCTCTGCTCTCCCCACGCGCAGATGGAGCTGCAGCCACAGGGTCCCCCCTGCTGTCTCTTTTACAAGGACGGTCAGTGGCTGAGCCTGAAGGAAAGAAGTTCAGAGCAGCCTCTCCACATACAGTAGAGCCACGTTCCCAGGGATGCTTGGGGCTCTCCGGATACCCCTGCCCGAGGGTACCACCCACCACTGGGAGGAGGTGCCAGGAGGAGGCCACTGATGTGCTGAGGGCAGGAGGTCAGCACTGGAGCCGCATGCACCAGGGGAATTCTAAGCGGGAGGCACGGGCTGGGGTGGTGGCTTTAGGGCCACAAATGAGCATCCTCACTGGGCAGTGATGCCATCAAAAAACAGGAAGGGCCGAGCCCCAGGATGGAAGGAGGAACCAGGGCCTGCTGAGGGATGCGCAGGAGGGTCTGTTTGGGCTCAGATTCATTTGAGGCCAGATCCCAGGAGGCAGGACCCTCATGTGGGGCCCTGGGGCCAGACCCTCTGTGGGGCTCCGAGTGAGTGGAGGGGCACTGGAGAGGGCCTTAGGGCTGGAGGCATTAATGTCCCTTCCCCAGAGCCCAACTTCTCCAGGGAGTGACAGGGACACCAGGGAGAGTCAGCCTCAGAAGTAATTCCAAATTACAGGTGTGAAAATTATCTCTCTCGGAGGTGTCTTAATGTAATCATTATGGCGCTTTATAGAGAGAAAGTCGTCCCTTCTGCAAGGACACTCTTTAATGGACGTCCTCCTCCCAGCAGCTTTTGCTGGCCCGGCACTCCTGACGCCCGGGGCAACAGCCGGGAACTGGGCTGCTGACGGCATCATTTCCATTTCTCGACGCGCCAACGGTTTCTGCGTGGATTGCACTGGAGCTAACGTGGACTACGTGTTTTATCGACACCCCCGAACAATAAGGCTCCTAACCATGCGGCACTCTCACCCTCAGCAAGGTGACTGCTCCAGAGTGGGCCCAGATTGTGAGCCCCCAGGACAGGTGACTCCCACGGTGGCGAGGGCTCGGATCTCCACGGGGCAGGGTGGGAGGTTGGAAAATGTGTTTTAGAAGCCCCGCAGGCATTTCTGGTGTGCAAATAAGCACACATCCACATGCAGCCTGGAGGGCGTCTGCAGCTCGGAGGCTTGGGGCTTCGGGACAAGCCATTTGTAGGGTCTCCCTTGCACGGTGATCATGGTGGCTGGTGCCAGGCACCCTCAGGCAGGTCTCACGACGTCCCCACTCCCCTCAGAGGAAAGGCTCTGTCGTGATTGCCCGGCTGATGAGAATCTGGGCTCAGTTAGGTAAAGGCAGCTTTCCTGGCAGCTTTCCTGGCAGCTTAGACGGCCTTCAGCTCAGCAGGAAGAGGACAGAGGACATCAGGGCGTCCGTAAAGCCGGGTTCCTTGAGCTCACGTGGGTTTGACATGTGGAGTACCCCGAATGTGCAGACAGAAGCTCCCTCTTTGTGGCCCCTGACAGTGAAGAGGAGGCCGTCTGGGTTGGCCAAGATGCCTTTTGTTGCAGGACGAACGAGAAATGGTGAAAAGCAGCAGGGGAGCAGTGTCCCCAGCCCCGGCCTGGGCGGAGCCCTCTGGATCCCAGCTCCTCTGGATCTGGGAGCCCACGCCGTGTTGCTTTCTTCTGGATCTCACCTGTCTCTCCCTCAGGCTCTGACGGCGTGGCACAGGCCTGCAGAGGGCGTTTCTGCTGCCACATGGGGAGGAGACTCCTTGGCCACGAGAGACGGAGGTCCACCTCTGCCGTGTACTCGTGGGGGGGACGCCCTGGCCACGAGAAATTTCGGTCCACTTCTGCCGTGCACTCCCAGAGTCCGGGCTGCAGGCTGAGCCGGCGGCCCCGGGTGCTGGCTGTGACCGCCTTCTCTGAGGTGGATACCGCAGCCCCCAGGTGCTCAAGCTGAAAATTGGGGGTCGGCCTCCAGGTGCCCCCGTCCCATATCCTGTACCCCACAATCTCTGCAGCTGCAGTAACAAGGCTGACATCAAGACTGCCTTCAAAATATATCTGTGCCGGGACCCCCAAGGCTCCCCACTGCCCTGCCACACCCCCACCTGTCCCCAGCGTCTCCTACTGAGTCACTGGCACTGCCCTCAGCTGGAGGCTGACTTCTGGGTCCCCCTCGCCCCTCAGTCCACTGTTTACACAGGACCCTCACAGGGAAGCCAGGTCAGTCCCCCTCCGCCAAGGGCCAGAGGTGTAGCCGGCCTGGCCCCTGCCTGATGCTGGATCAGAAATGCCACGCAGCTCGCCATCCCCTACAGAAAACGAGGGCTCAGGATGGCCCAGCCAGAGGCTCTCTGCTGAGCAACACCTGGAACCCACTTGGCTGCCCCTGCTAAGGCCCCCTCCACCCAGGAGCAGCACTCCCACCGCACGACTTCTCCACGTTTACTGAAGAGGCAGGTTTCCAAGTCTGTGCCCGGGCTCTGCCTCTGACATCAGGCTGGCCCTGGCCTGAACCCCCACTCCCTCCCCCGGCATCATCGGCTACAGCTGGCCACTGTCCTCCCAAGCCCTATTTCCTCCTGCCCTTGGGCCCCCAGGGGACTTCAGAGGCTGCTGGCCTGGTGGCAGGCTGGCCTCTCCTGTCCATACCCTTCTTTGGGTGGTCACCTCACTTCTCATGGACATAAGCACCACGTTCAGCCAGATGGGCCTCCAGCACTTGCCTCCTCAGGGGCCACATGTCCAGCTATGGTGGCCAGCAGACACCTCACACTGTGTCCTGTGCATCCCACGCTCCACAGCCACCAGAGCTGACCCAAGTCCCTCCTGCAGCTCAACCTCCCCCGGCCACTGACTCCTCCCCTTGCGCCATGGCACTCCTCTGCCCAGCAAGTTTCCCCAAACCTCTCGGATCCTCCTGTGGGTAACTTCAAGGCTACAGTCCTGGGGTCCAGGCCACCATCTGACTCGGAGGACTGCAGTGGGCCTTTAGGCCTCCAGCATCCTTGGTCCTGTCACCCAGGACAGGACCACCCAGGACGGGACCTCCCAGGACAGGACCACCCAGGACGGGACCTCCCAGGACAGGACCACCCAGGACAGGACCACCCAGGACAGGACCTCCAGCACTGCTCACCTCCAGCACATGGTGGACTCAAGGTAGTAGGTGGACCTTGTCACTCACTGGCTCCAAATGGCCAGAGGCTTTTCCTGCAATGTGAGCACATGCCACCACACAGGCCACCACACAGGCCATAACATGGACCAACTCAAAGGCCACCATACAGGCCATGACTTGGGCCACCATAAAGACCACCACCACACAGGCCACGGTGCAGGCTGCCACACAGGCCACAACATGGGCCACCACAAAGGCCATGGTGCAGGCTGCCACACAGGCCATGATGTAGGCCACCACCACACAAGCCATGGTGCAGACTGTCAACTGCCACATAGGCCATGACATGGGCCACTACAGAGGCCATCACCACACAGGCCATGGTGCAGGCTGCCACACAGGCCATGACATGGGCCACCACAAAGGCCACCACACAGGACATGACTTGGGCCACTACAAAGGCCATCACCACACAGGCCATGGTGCAGGCTGCCACACAGGCCATGACTTGGGCCACCACAAAGGCCACCACCACAAAGGCCACGGTGCAGGCTGCCACACAGGCCATAACACAGCCACCACAAAGGCCACCACACAGGCCATGATGCAGGCTGCCACATAGGCTGTGACGTGGGTTACCACAAAGGCCACCACCATAAAGGCCACAGCGCAGGCTGCCACACAGGCCATGACATGGGCTACCACAAAGGCCACCACACAGGCCACAATGCAGGCTGCCACACAGGCAGTGATGTGGGCCACCACAAAGGCCACCACCACAAAGGCCACAATGTGGACCACCACATAGGCTGTGGGAAATAAAAGTTCCTCTTCAAAGTTTCCTTTCTTGTTAAAGAATAAATCATAAGTGTGCTAATAACTCTTTGTTAAACCCTATCCTATGTGGCTGTTAGACATGCTCCTTGGCACATAGCACATTCTACGTCCTTGTACTTTAACCAAGATATCTGTACTGGATGCGCTCACAGGCATGTCCCAGCTCACAGCCTATGCCCCTTCCTTACTTGGACTTCTCCATTGCTTTTACCTGTTTAGAAAAATTTTAAGTTATTACCCAATCAGGTTTTAGTTTACATTGTGAGGTCTGGCTCCAACCATTAGAAATCAGACACAGCAGTAAGGACAACCCCAAATGCATAAGGGATAAATAGGTCTGCTTTTTCTTTGTTGTACTCTCGTAGCTAGATGGCTAGCCAAAGTATCTTTCCTGCAAGAAGTAAAAATTGCTTTGCTGAGAGAGCCTTTGTCTCAGTGCTGATTTTT